CCAGGAGCTTTATCTTGATATTTAGTATATGTATTTCATTTCCAGTACTATTGTCTTGTCTACCCAGGGAGCTGTAACGAAACATAAGAAGGGACTGAATACGCATGAGTGATAACCTTCAACCCCAACTGCGCACTGTGCATGTGACTCGTCAAGTGCTATTCAGTTCAGTGGGCGTGAAATCAGGGACGTTCTCCGCGGCGTCGATCTTACGGGACAAAGGAATCGTACACAATGGTTTTATAAGGGATTACAGTCTTTAAAACAAAGGGCGTTAATGGGGATTAAAATTGGTCCTGTCTCATTCTCATTACAGCTCCCTGATCTACCCCATACAAGCAGTGAAAGAAAAGAATCCCCTGTCTAGTGCGAGTTCTGTGGGTGCCCTCTCAGTAGCAATAAACAGGCCTCACACTGTGACAACACACACACTAGTGTACGCAGTAGCACGACTCAAACAATACGATTAAATAAATGCATCCACAAACACGTTTAATGAAAGAAATCTACTCCCGTGGCAGCACTCAGACTCAATCAATCACACTCGGACATATTATAATTTAGAAATATCCCATAATTCCTTCGCCATGCCTTCTAAGCTAGTGTAAATTTGACCTGAGTTATACCAATGTCCTGTTTGTATATTTCGATAAATCTATCGGTGAGCTGACGTCATAAATTCACCATTTCATTTTGTGGTTCGCGAGAAGATTTACGTTTTTGAAGACAAAATATGATCTTACCCAAAATTTTCAAAAATATAATTTTTTGGAAATTTTAATATTCAAAATATAGACGACGTATGGTAATTGACCGGAGTACTGTTGATATATATATTAAAATATGTTGGGTTTAACTATCAAGTTTAACTTCAGCGTTTTTGCATGCGCCATGCAATCAAATTTCATTTCAAGTCTTAATCGCCAAAAGGTCACTTTTAAAATAAAATAAAATGACCTGCAGTGGACTTTTATTCAAATATGTATATCGGTCTACACGTGCCTTGAATGCAAGCTTGATCTATCATCTATTAGTTGTACACATACACATGAAGTGACCAACACTGTCTGTATTGAGGTTGCATTTTCATATTCTATGACAGCCTTTTTGAAATTCGAGGAAATGCGATGTGTCAGACAATTAAAATGACGCCGTATCGCTTATGTGACCAATGGAATACACAACAACATTAAGCTTACTCGTTTAAAAAATTACAATGTGTCGTCTCCTTATAATAAATGCATTGAACAAGAACTGAGAATTCTAAAGGCACTGCCGATTAATGATTTAAATGATATTTTCTTTTCTTTTTAGTGTATAAACTAATAAATCATGGGACGACGATTGAAACTGTGGCTTGCTGTCATTATACTTGTGTCCATACTAATCAAATCGGTTATGTGGTACCTTGATTGGAGCAGTTCATCATCTAAAGATACCACAGTGACGATATCCGAGAATATACCCGGGATACTAGAGCCTCAAAATAATATGATTAGTGTATTGAACCAGAACAAATCCATTCACGTGTTAATAAATGCTAGAATGCGTACAGGATCAACTTTGACTGGTCGATATTTTTCTAACCATCCTGACATTATGTATCTTTACGAACCGGAACTCACTTTACGATATTCCCTGCATTACGATGTATTTAACGACAGTGCAGCAAATGTAGAGAAGCTCCAAAAACCGTTCTACGATATTATTGAAGGTTTCTTTGACTGTAATTATACAAGGCGTCCTGAACTGTTGCCGTTTACAAATAAGACAAAATGGATGAAATTCTCAAATGGTCTTGCTCACCTTAAAGGTCCTCAGTTTAATGCTAAACAAATAACTAAACTATGCGAGACAAAGGCTCATCGTGCAGTGAAGACGGTGCGGATAAATGATATTTCCAAAGGTCTCGAAACGTTAAAAAAGTATGATGTAAAAGTCATCCAAATCGTACGAGATCCCCGGGGAATGATCAACTCGAGAATAAAGTATGAACACTTGGACACACGACAGAAACAAGGGAAAAGCGCGCAAAAAATCAGTGAAGCTAGTAAAAATTATTGCACATGGTTAAAAACAAATATAGACGCTGTTTTCAACGGGTCGGCGTGGTTGAAGGAACACTATATGATCGTGCGCTATGAGGACCTGAGTGAGAGACCGCGTCAAGTAGTTCCGCAGATGTACGACTTTATAGGATTGTCAAATACGAAAGAATCTGATACTATTTTGTCAAGCCAGAAAATAATACGTGGCAATGCAATTAAATGGCGGTATAGTTTACCATTCAATCAAACACGCATTGTACAAAATAACTGTCCCGACGACATATTTGAAACGCTAGGTTATGTAAAGGTTAATGAGTGAAAACCAACAACTTGACAATTCGTTCGTACTGGTGACGTCATCGCCACCCAACATTAGTAAACGGATCACCCAATAATAACACTAGACCGATTCTAAATATTATTAAACTTGTTAATGACCCAACATACATTGTGATTTTTTTTTTAGAAATAACGATTGATTTTTCTTTCATCAATGCTTGTTGATAGTATGTGAAAAAAAATTGTCTATTTTTTATTTTGACACCATGTCGTGATTATTGTTTCATTATTTTATTTTTTGTCGATATTCCAACATGACATTATCTAGTTATTTTTTAAGTTTTTTGGTCGCTTGGGGTATTATGCTATCATTAGTATGTTAGTATTCAGTTATTTAGCTGTTATTTTCATATTTTTATACGAATGTGTCATTATTTGGTCCATATTTTCTTACGTGCAGATATTTAATTATTATTAGGACATTCGATTGCTCAAAATGTGGTTGTCTCGACCATTTAATGTCTCAACATTTGATTGTCGCGATATCATCTGACCTCATTATTAGCTGAACCCCAGTCGTGCCCAGAAATCATTACACCTGCCAGCGTGTCACATAAATTGTTTTCACAAGTGTAAAAAAGAACCCTTAATAACTGTTGGTGAATTGGTTTTAATTAATTAATTAATTGTATGCAAGCTATTGTCGATAAATAGTACATTCCATCACAGTTGATTGTTTGCTGAACAAAGAATTAAGAAAAACAAACTATTAACTCTGAAAAAAGCTAATACAAGTAGCTAAAATTTTTATAATCCTGTTATTTGATGTTATTTGAGATAAGAATTATATTGATATAAATGTTATAACAATGTTGCATACTAAACAAAATTATTTATCATAGAACTAAATAACTTAGTGGATTGTCTGAATCTCTTAAGTATATATAATAACTGTTCCATTGGATATGTACATATACACACGGCTTCAAATAGTATACTATAATGAGAAACATTACTTTCTAACTCGCTTTCAAAGACTTATAATTGCGTAACACATGTTGAGCCATATATTATCAGATATTTTATGACAATTTATTTTATGTGATGGTATGGAAAAGACCAACTATTGATAAGCGATATTAAACAATATAACGTCGAACTAGAACTTGTTTGTACACAAACAGAAACTACAACCCAATTTGTCATGTTTATCAGACAAAGTAGATGTTTACCCCTGACCCCAAACATTTAGCATCTCATTATTAGCTGTACACGCTAAAGAAAAGCAATGTACAAACATATCAGGCACTCACCAATACGCCAATACACTAATAAGATGATCCATTATTAGATGAAAACACATCGCACAGAATCATTAACTATAAAGTAGCCATTTTGTTTTGCTACAATGTTACCAAACTATTTCGATCATAAGTGTGTCCGGTACTATCACTTGAATGCTATATACCTTCAAAATCGTATAAAGTTACTTGAATATATATCGAACACTCAATCACTTCTATCCAGTCATAAGCAGCTTTTCAGAAACAACTACCATATATTACTGTTGCCACATATTGTCAATAGAGGGCGCTTGTAAAAAACGAATACAGGACCACTTAATACTATTATGGAGAGGTTTTTTTGACAGCCGTAATTATGCAAGAATGCAAATTTAAATGTAATTACCATGTAAATGGTCTAATTGTACTGAGATCAAATCAGATTATCCCACAAACCCCAAAAAATAAAATCATACATTTGTGAAGTATTTTGAATCAATGCAGGGGAGTGTTTTTGCCGGGCGTTATTATGCAAATGAGCTAATTAAAGTGTGATGTTGTTTTCACTCTTATTTTCACAAGTCGAGGGAAGGTTGGCAATGAACTCTATCTGAGGGTCACTAAAACTGTATGTCCACCTTTGATGAGATGAACATTTATATTATATCATACCAATTCAATTTTTACTTTTGTGTGTTTAACTTCAGCAGCTTCAGCCTGACGAAGAATTAGTTTTTATAAACACACCAGACGCCACCCTGTGCGTTTTCACTGGGTGCAGCTATAGGTCACACGGTGTTCCAGCTCGCATTAAAACACCGAAACGACCCGTACTTGAGTTGCGCACTACTTTAGTATATGCTTATGTCAAAACCATTCTCTTTCAACAAATACAAAGTGATACAGCCCCATGCGACGCCAGGTCGGATGTCTTAAAGCGCGTAGCTAAAAATCACACTAAATCGCTGCACAATCTTAGTTTTCTCACTAATAAGGCTGGACAAATAGTGAAAGCAAACAAGGCGAAGTAGTTCTTTCGTAAACATTGCCGCGAATTGGCGGTAATGCGTCCATGGGGACATACATTTACGTTAAAGCACGACTTGACAACTTATGTCAAAAGGTATAAAAACTACAACGACGCTTGATATAGAGTTTAATGAACGCATTCTTTAAAGTCGATAAGAAGCACATGCGAGAACTTAGAAACGGAAATAACTTGAAAGACTATCTTTCACTGAAGGCAAAATATAGAAAAAATACATAAACGTAAAATGAAGATGTTTGTCACATCGGCTCCAGGTTGGCACAGACCAAGTTGAGTATTGTGAACCGTGATTGATCAACGACCATTGCAATTAACTGCAATCGACCAAGAAGTCAGCTCATGATCTTTATTTTATCGATTTAATATCAGAACTGTTTTGCAGCATCTCTATTCGGCAATATGAACGATCAAATCAAGTAACAAGGCGCCAGCCAACTAAATTGTTAATTCTATAAGGATGCCATTCGTGATTTACATAATGAAATTACTGGATAATGTAACCAAGCTGAAAGATCAAATTGTCATGCTAAACGCAATCGAAGCTCTCGATTGTACTTCGTGATTGAGATTCCAGAGAAAATGTTAACATTTTCACTTATTATCTAGCATGAACTGTTATACAGTGCACACATTAAATAACTGCACTATAAATTATGACGCCAAATGTATGATCTTTCAAATAATGTAATTCTAAAGTACATAATAAACAACTTGTAAAAATTGTTTTTTTTTTTATTATTATTGATTAATATTTATATGTATTGTAAATTTAAAATGATTTCCCGAAATTGGCTGAAGCACATCAAATATCACTTACAGAATATTTTTATCTACCACTAAGGCATGAAAAATAATGTTGAAAATTCATAAATTTTGGAAAATGAAGAATAAAACTAGCACACAAAGAATTCAACTATTTAAAAAAACGAACATATGTAGATCCAATCACAACTTAATAAAAGTACAATCATTACTATACTATATGTTCATTGCATAATATAGAATTACATGATCACATTTCACAATCTAATTATTGTAGAAAAAAAAGTTACTTTAGTACCTGCACAAATAAAATGCCAGTATCCCAAACAAATGCACTGCAAATAAACTAGTTACATGATAGGCTTTATGTTTGAAACAGGTACATATTATTTTTTTAATGAATTTCTATCTAGCGACTTATTAAATAATTTCAACCTAAATAGTTTGCAATCAAACGTGTAATTCTCAATATATAAAAATGCAAAAAAAGGAAAATTAATAAAAATTTAGTATTTTACATCATTTATGTTGGTTCATTTACGAATGAAATTGATTAATAATTGCAACCACTTATCAGACATCAAAATTCAGATTGGACAAACAGCATTTGGACAACTCAAACAGTTGATCAAATACATATTGGTTATGAATACATTATCAAGCTATTGAATTTAATTAATCGCCACAGAATTGCATAATTCATGAATCAACCAAGACAATGTCTTAAACTCACTACATCAAAACTTGATATTTCAAAAATGTAATCCAACAGGAACGCCGAAATCAGATAGGAATCAGGGAAGTCAGAATCAAGACTTAAAATTCCACCTTTACCACCGAGACCGTCGTGTAAAATCTTCAGGGCTTTTGGTATTCTTTCCACGTCCCTATATTTGAAATAGGATTCGAATGTCAAGTAACCATCTGTAGAAAAAAAACATGCTATGATGGTTACAATGCAATTTGTTACTACATGCAAATATGTATCTTAAAATATTCTCATTCATTAATTCAGTCTTGACGGACTAGCTTATATTTACCTGTTCGTGGAGGAAATGTTATAGTTGAATTAATCAATCGGAGATGTCTTTGCTTCGTGATGCTGATGATATTGGCATTAAATCCTGGTGGTAAAAAGTAAGCTCCAATAAACCCCAGTTCACGAAGCCTCGTTTCGGAACTAACAACGGATAGCTGAAGAATATCCCCATTCTGTCTCTCCCATAATCCACTCGGCATTGAACTGCTCCCTCGAATGCCTAATTCAGAATGTTTGCTCCATTCTAGGACTAGTTCTGGGTAGAGTTCGATGAAATTGCCATACAAGAACAGGGTCAAAGGAAAGCTTATTTCGTAGGCTGTTAACGCATCTACAAGAAGCTTTGCATTTTTGGGGTCCATACCCACTTCAATAACAATGGACAACTGGGATGCCTTATTGCAATGATCGTTGATTCTACCGAGAGATCCAGGCGTTCCAATCGGTATCTATCAACAATTGAAAGAAAAATATTATTGCATTATTTGTATGGTTCAGCTAAATCATTCGAGTACTTTGCACAGTATTCATAACATTAATTTGTGATTAATGATATACACGTGAATCCATTTTACTGTTCCACTGTGTTTTGTCTGTCAGTTTGTCGGAGATAAATTTATCATATTGAGTATAGTGTTCTAATGCCAAAGATTTGTTTGTTCTGTTAAATATATTGGTCCCTTTTCTCACACACTTAGTATGACAAATGTGAACAAATGTGGTTTAACTAACATCAACTGAAATTAATCATTACACTAAATTGTCATTACCGATTATTTCCAGATTAATGACTTCCAGTAAATGATTATTTCTGTGCATCGTAAAATAGGTTCATGAGAATTGTCACTGAATTGCTTTCAAAAACATAAAATGGAAAATATCAATAGAAAAATCTAGTTTGCATAAAATAATTATCATATGAATAACAACACAACCGTGATTGGACGCATGCGGTGGACCAACTATAATCGCGGTTTATCAGTATGCACCAGACGTTATATGGAGAAATGTTTATGACAGGCCTGTATCATTCAACACTGAATGCTCATTCTCAAACAGTAATTCAAATAAATTGTTATTATTTTTTAATTGATTCTCTTATTTTTTTTTGTATTATATTCGCCTGTCAAGTCAGACACATTTGCAGTACCCTAACACGACAGAAATGGGACATTTGAGGGAACTCGGAAAAAGACAATTATGCAATGACGAATAACCGACATTATGGATTGGAATTTATCAACTCTGAGGGGGATGTGCTCCTACGGTTGTGCTATTTTCTAAAATATAAATTAGTTATATTTTTGTTATTTTCTGTGCAATATTTTCCCTACAAAACTAATATTGCTCTCATTTTGATTTTGCCTTTTGTTCTGCCATCCCTGATAGTGTCTCATGGTTCACCCCTTACATACAATAACTAATCGTATTTAAATCTAGAATTCTATTTTAGCTAATTCATCATTTTGCTAATTCAAGATGTGGGTAATATAAAATAACGTATATTCTCGAAATGAGATTCCTAGCACTTGAGCTAAATGTCATGCATTGAATCAAATTCGCTAAAATTGCATGAAGTTATTTACCGTGTTTTACAGTATTCACGAATGAAACTTACATAGCTTTTTTGCAATTCATCCAAGTCACTTATTGTCTTAGACTCTCCTGCCCACGTTATGATTCTCTTGTGTTTATTAGTTTTCTCGACGATTATATTCTTCTCCAGTCTTGATAAACCAGTTGGCTGCCAGGGGTGAAACTCACCATAATATCTGAATGTATGAAACATGTTTTCATTTTGACGTTATTCAACATGCATTTAAACAGTCATCACAACTGAAATGAATCTATCCTATATACACATATGAAAAAAAAACTAGTTCCATGTTTCCAGACTTTGAAACAAGCTCTGTATATCTTAGGAAATGAGAATTTCAAATACAGAATGATTACGTGCGTAAGCGTCCTCTAATAATAAAAACAATCATGGCTGCCACCAGGGTTTGACCGGACTCAACACAAAGTCCGCTGATTCTGTTTTTAACTTTTTGGATTTCGGCATTCCCATGATGTATCATTGGAGGAAGATGTATAATAATAAGGTTAATACGAAGATACCGCAAAGTATGCACAGAACGCCATCGCACCAACCTTTGCTGCGCATCGGTCAATACTGCCGCTGTACTTCGTGCATACTTTTTCGTATCCGCGTAACAACCTCGTATTTTTACACAATACTTCTTTTGTTTCATTAAAAACATCCATTTATTCCATTGCAAAATGTCACTATTAAATAATAGACTGATTCTAACTTATCAATCCAAGCAAAAGTGCCATCATTCAACATCTTTTTCAATATTTCATATTCAGCTCCCTCAACGTCCAATTTCAGTATAACGTAATCGGCCTTTTGCGTGTTTTTCTGAATCCATTGTGAAATATCAATTGTAGGAACAGTCACGTGACGACTGAGCTTTCGTCTACCACCATCTGTATCTATATTTTTCTCATCATCAAATGCAAACAGCGATCCGCCACCCCACTGCATGTCCTGATCATTGTTAATTTTGCCAGGAAACCATGCACCTTCTAAGAATGCTGTCATATTGCCTGCATAGACAAATAAAAGAGTGTTACTTCATTTCAGTAGACTGACTACGAGCATTCATATTTGTCCAAGAAAGATGAATATAATCAGTTTTCACCACCATTACAAAAAAATTAGTCTCAACACAGAGGGAGTGTTATTTATATGTGTAATATGTTGTTTTTAGGGGGCTATGGTATGAGATATTTTCGATACAAATGAAACATGTTACGATCACGGAAAATCAAGCATCAATTTGTCTTACCGTCAACATTAGAAACACCAACTGGTATGTGTGCATATACATTTCCTTGTGATACGTATGCAGCAAAATATGGACGTAATTTATAATCAATCTCAAATGAATGAATTTCAAACTCTCTGGAATTTGGGTACATTTCCCGGAACATCATGATAGAAGAAGCCATATTGGCGCCGCAATCAAGAAATATCTTTTTGGGCTGCGTGTCATTTGTCCGGCGTCCACGTGATTCCCTGAAAAACCGAATTATTTATTATAGCGGTTTTAAAATCACACAGCAATACACCAAAGAAAAAAAAACTTAGTGCGTACAAATACAACAATCCTGAGATATCAGGTGGCCCATAACTTGGCATAGTCCATGGCTGCAACATACGATCTCATCTCACATGTGTGCACAAATACGCAAATGACAAGAGTACATTGAAATTAGAAGTACACAATAAAACCTGTTGTAGAATACTTTCCATGTAAATTCACAAAGGCCAGTTAGTCACACAGTTCGTATTATATTGGTTTCATCAAAGATGGAACTAGTGATTAAAGGAAAACATCTCGCATTCTGGGTGTTACATTGAGATAAACAACAATACATTTGCTGTCATCAATAGTTCTACATTAGAACAATGTTCTCATTACACAGCACTCAATAAATAACGCCATTATCTATGTAATGCAGTTATTTGTAGTAGAATAAATTGAGATCGTGTAAAACCGATATGTGAACAAAATAATGGAATTTTATGCATAACCTGCCAAGATATGTTTTAGCATTCTGTATTTGAGTTATATGAAGTTCCGATTTTGTTCAACAAGGGGGTCCTCTTTGCTAAAGACTTCTACACGTGGGATTTCCTTTTCAATGTAAGACTGCCTAACAGAACTCACATCTTCTTGTCCAATTCTCATCCTACTTCGTGGTACACTTGCTTTCATGGTTTGCCATTCTAATTTTAAAAATCAGCCAGGTAATGATGTCCTGTAACATCCTGGCTAATTTATACACATGTGAGATTGAGACATGTGAAATTTACCAGCCAAGCATTCATGAAACATGTCTGCAATTGTTTATGTAAAAGAATATAGTTTTCGAATGCCACTTGTATTCAATTATATGTATCCAGTACCGAGACTTTTCGCGGTTTCTCATACTGTTTAAACTTTTAACCAAGGTACCTGACACTTTCTCCCAACAATTGACACAATAGAAGCGTGATTTTTAAAACCAAAAATATCTTTTTGAGTTGCTGTACATGTCTCACAGGTGTATCTGAGAACGTAATAATGTTATCTCAATAATCATACACCAATTAATTGTTATTATGACTGTGACTCCAGCACATTTCAAACTCGTTGACACATTACCAGAACATTAATTCGGTAACAATTTTTCATAACCACAGTGACCTGATATTTGTATCTTCATTTTAATATTAATGTGAGTTGGAAATATCTTTCTCAATACATACAAGTCCCGAACAATCCCATTGTTTAGCTTTTGAATAGTGCCACAATTTCAGAGAACCGAGTAATAGTTCTGTTAATTTCATCCTAAAATACAGCATCTTATTTTCAGAAAAATCTTTAATTATTTATCTAAAATGGTCTACTGTATTTTTTACACAAAGAGAACATCAACATTTTCGTCATAGTCGCAAAAGTAACCTATTTTGGTTTATAACAATACAATTATTGGTGCATACGAGGATACACACGTTTCAGTATACATAACATTGACTATCCTGAAAATAATCAGTTATTGTAAATAAAATTACGGAGTGATAAGGATCAGAGCAAGTTATTGAGGCAATGTCGCATCGTGCAAGAATAATTGTGCATTTGTAATCAGTGTGCAGTGTTCATTAGTTGACACTTACCATGAAACAATCTGTGAACTATTTCGAAATGTGTTACACGACTTCTGAGTAAATTCCAGCGGCACATCCAATTTTGGATCAATAACCATGCTCATGTAAAACCCAAGGATGAAAGTGATGACAGTCATCACTAGTACGATGAACAAATGTATTCGTGACATTATTTTGCGTCACACCCTAAAGGTATATAATTAAGAAAATCTATATTATTTACTGATTATTGATAGATCGAACATTATTTATGAAATCAAAGCACTTGTAATATACGTCATACATCCATATTTCCGAGAAGCTCGCCATATCATGGTTCAAGAATGTCAAAATAGTTTTTTAAGGCACATCAACTGCTAGGGATTTGGAAATGTCGGCAACTCGGGAAGATTCCTCGTGGGTCAAGTTACTAATCCAAAAGCATCGCGTGTACCTTGTTGCTCATGCTATGAACACTGAGACAAGATACATGCCTAACAGCAGCATCGTATCAGCTCGTTTGCATTTTTGGTATTTTCATTCTTGGGTACCAGCAATGCTTCTTTTTTAATATCATATTAACATGGTTGTGCATTTACTAGCATTAATTTACGGTAAACTTATTGAATATATTATAACGCTCAGATATTTTACTGAACGCGTGCATGTCAATAAATCTAATATAACGATTCTGTTGAAGTGCGCGATTTTAATTTATTCACAACTCAAACAGTAATGAGAAGTTCAAACCACTTGTTCACGTCATTCCGTTCAGCGGTTTTCTCAAATGACTTGACGAAAAAAAAATTCTGATTTCTAACAAACCTTCATTCGTCATGTCACCGCTGTTCAATATGGATTACTGTTAAATATTAATGTACATTACTGTCAGTGTGTTATTGTTGCATTGCAGTTAGATTAGTTAAATATTAGTGTACATTACTATTAGTGCATTATTTGTTACATTACA